GAGAGAGAGAGAGAGAGAGAGAGAGAGAGAGAGTGAGTGAGAGAGAGAGAGAGAGAGAGAGAGTGCTGTCTATGCAGATGCTTGTTTGAGGTTTTATTAATCATAGCACTGAGGCAGGCCACGACGCGTCCATTAAGCCATATCTGCAGCTGTATTTGTATCTCTATCTGCATCGACATATGTATCTGTATCTGTGTCTGCATCTGTGTCTGCATCTGTATCTGGGTCTGTGCTGTCATGCGATGTGTTAGTTCGTTAATATGCCAAGGGCTGCCATTGCTAAATCTCTATGGGGTCTGACAAAGGCAACTGCCATGTGTTGGCCCCGCTGTGTGCAAGCAGCCAAAGCAGCTCCTGCCGGGAATGAGTAGCGCATCTTTTAGCTTGTTTTGCCTGACGGCTGCTGCTGCTGCTGCTGCTGCTGCTGCTGCTGCTGCTGCTGCTGCTGCTGTAGCTGCTAGCCAACCATTGGGATATTAAAGACAGAGCTCGTCAAAGGCCAACACTCGCTCAGTTACAAAATACTTACACAGTTGCTGCTGCTGCTGCTGCTGCCACTGTGGCTTAAATACTTCATTTAGCCGTGCTTCATTCGGGCTTGGTTGAGGATCTGCTAGCAAACAGCAAATTATGGTGAATGAATTGTTTTTGTAATGTGTAACTTAAATTGGCTAATTTGCGTAATATGAATGGAAGGCGAAAGAGTTTCTTTATACTCTATATACTAATAATAATTAATTAAAGATATATATATTTGAGATGTACATATTATTGAAATATATAAGAGATTACAAATATTTATATTTTATCAAATTGATAGATTATTGATGGCTGGTATTTATTTATATTTAGTTCTGAATTGAATATTGTCAAGTAATCCTCTTCATTTTATTGGAATTCGCCGGAGCATTAGTTACTCTTTTATATAGAAACAAATTTGCTCAATTATACTAAATCATTTGTGTATTTACATGACTTTTACTTAATGTTAATAAAAATAAAATCGAATTAATAATAATACTATTAATAGCGAATAAATAATAATCAATATATAAAATGTAATGCAGAAATAATCAATCAATTTATTGTGAAACAAATAGATGATGTTCACAGTCTGTGCTCTTAGCAATTCATAATTCACTCAAATACACGTATAAACAATTTATCTGAGTGATATTTCAGCAGAAACGCCTTAAGTAAATCTCCGAAATAAATTTCAAGTGAACATGAGCAAACTGCAAACTGAAGCTTACTTAAATTAAATAAATTGTAAGAATTAATTCTCTGTAGTAATTAAATAAATAAATAATAATTAAGTAGTACATAATGCTAATAAGAATAATATTTATGTAATACATATTTTTCCTTATACATATCATGGTCAATATTTGTCATTAAGAGATTTAGTTGAAATGAAACCCAAAATTAAAGTACAAATTAGAATTAAAAATCAATAAATAATTAACATAAGACTATAAAAAAATAAATAAAAATAAATAAATAAATAAAATAATAATATATATACAAAAATGTTCCAACTAATCAGATTCATTATACACACTACAAGCTACCCTTTTCAGCTTGGGCTCCGGCCTGGTGCCCACTGTGGCCCAGTGACTGGCAGCTGGGTAGCATACTTTTGGCAGTCAGTGTGCGGCTCAACGCAGCAGCGACCATTGTTGTAATCACATGGCAAACGGGTAGCAGGAGGGGCGGGGCAGCTGGTTAACTTGTGTCTTGTCTGCAGCTGAAGGCAGGCTTTATTAAAGCAGTCGCATTCAGCTCAGGTGAAATGCTGCACATGTATTAGTATATTACTGCATATGTCTCGCACAGCAGAGCAACCAAACTGAGCTGAGAACTAAACTGAAAAGAGTCGATAGAGGGAAGCGAACAAAATCTTTACAAATTCCGCACAGAATGGCCAGTGGGCTGGCAAAGGTGGTGAGGGTGGGTTGTGGGAGTCGACTTCCTCAGGTGTGTGCAGGAAATTTGACTTGTAACCAATGTGAAAACACACACACACACACACACGCATAGCTGCATTGAGCCTTTGCACATTGTTGAGCAAATTTTCTTGGACAATTTTTGGTTTTGGCCATTGTGAGTGAGTGACACCGGCATGGCTGTGTATTGGTAGGCTCTGCAGTCGGAAAAATCAAATTTCCTTTAGCACACAGCAAGGGCTGCATAATTCGAGGCAACAACATTGTTGCAGCAGCATTTCGAAATGCACTTCGACAGCAGCTGCCACAATAATAGCAGCAGCAAAGTCTGAAATGCAACTTTAATTAACAGAGAGAGAGAGAGAGAGAGAGAGAGAGAGAAAGAGAGAGAGAGAGAGGTGGATGCATTGGCCTACAGCTAATCTTAAAGCATTTTGGTAGCTAACAAAAATACCTAACTGTCTATTAATGAAGCCGCAACCAACGGCCGCAGGAGCCGGCGAGTCCTGCACGAGGCCAACTGAGAGCAATTTGCATGAATTGCAGCTGCGAGGGCAGCTCCAATTATTGCAGTTGCTGCAATGTGGTCAGATCAGGTTAGCTAGCCCTCAGCTTCAGCTCGATTCGAGTAGGAATTTCAGCCACGAGAGCCCCATTGATGATGGCCTGCTGTTTTTCGTGCTGTCATCGGGCCGCAATTGCATATTTGATTATGAATAATTAACAATGTTTGGCATTCATTGAATTAATTAATATGCTGCACCATGTGCACCCCCTCCCGCTCCCCCCTGCGTCACCCTGATGACATTCCATTGTGCCTTTAAATTTGCCCATTGTCAATTAATTAGTGGACTATTTGCATTAACGCATTGCCCTCAAATTTGAGCGCACAAATTATTAACAATTAGTCAATTGTGATAAAAACAATGCCAAATAATTAGTAGACGGGATTACACTCTGTAAGCGCGTGCATTAAATAGATAACGGAATCATAATTGAATGCATAAAGAGTAAATATATAAAGGATTTTCTTTTTTTGTTTTGTTTATGTAAGTTTGTCTCATCTTGTTGCTAAACATTCAGCGAATATTTGTTATTTTTGCAAGCACAGTATTCACTCAATATATCGGAGTGTGCGAGGCCAAAGTCCACAGACATCGAATTAAATTTCAATTATGCGCTTCAATTCATCGCAGCAGCCAACAAATAAATCAAATCAATGCATTTTTGGCCAAAGAGCAATGCAACTAATAGGATACCCTGTATATATAGAGAGAGCTCCAACTGCTTCAGCTCACTAATGAAATGCATTCCAGGAGTTGAATTTTTAACTTGAAAGGAAATTCGGGCAAAAAGTAAGCCAAGATCGTTGCTGCAGCATAATTGCTGAAGCATTTCATCAATTCCTTTGGCTAAGTAAAAATACATGATGCATGCCACATGCTGTATGCCACATGCTGCATGCTGCCTGCTGCTTGCTGCCTGCTGGCTGCTCCAAGCCCTTGTCTGGCGCAACGAAATTGAAACATTTGCAGATTGCATTACGTCAACAACCGCAGGAGACGTGAGGCACAGTGAAGCCACGCTAAGTTGAATATTTGATGCCACAGACTTTTCAGTTCATTCCCTGAAAGTCAGTTGGGAGACTTTAAGGCTGTGGTGCCCCCACCTGATGCAGCTCTCGCCTAGCATCCGCTGGATCCCCGTTCGATTGTCCAATCCAACGTCTGTGGCATAACTTTCACAAAGTTCGCCCCAAGATCTGCCGATAGTAATGATACCTGCCGCTCTCTCTCTCTCTCTTTCTCTCTCACACACACGCTCAGGAGTTTTCCTTTGCTCTGTTCGGCTCTCTGCTCTTAATGTGCTATCAGCAATCCACTGCAAAGTCCTGCCGCCACGGACGAAGCTCTTTCAATATCCTTCATTACCCAAAGCTGGCAGAAGCGAAAAAAAAACCAGAAATGAAAACGAAAGAGAAAGAGAAAATAAAATCATTGAAAGAGCCTCAACGCTTTGTACGTAATGCGTTTGATTCCTCGGCTAAATTCTGCCGGTTTCACAAAATAAAGGACAGACAGAGACAGCACATAAATATATGGAGCAGCCAGAGCTGGACGTACACAAAAATCGCCCAAATCGCACGAAAAAGACGGGAAAAATAGTAAAAAATTAAAATCAGCGCGGCTGAGTCACGTTCGACTGGAGGATGCTCTCTACTGCTGATGAGACTGAGAATGTAAACTGGCAGTTATATACAACTTTCAATATAGTCACATAAGCTAATGATTTTAAAGCCAAGAGTAGTCAGGTCTATAATAAAAGCAAATACCATATTCAGTAAAAAAAAAAAAAAATACAAATAAAAATAAATTACCTTATATATATATGATTAAATTAGCATATATATGTATATATACATATTTTTTTTTATAATATTTTATTTTTATTTTTATTTGTATTCACACATAACTTAAGAGTCTTATAAAGAAATTAAATAAAATTAAATAAATAATAAAAATAAGAGAACACAATTGAGACTCAATTACTCCTTGAAAATTCAATTTTTAATGTAATCCATATTCTGAATAAATTTCCATTTTTTTTCTATTTAAACTTAATTTATTTTATTAGAGATTTGAATTAATATAGAAATAAAATTAATTTATAAATTAAGCAGGTGTTTCTGCTTATTTTATTTACAGTCGAATTAATATATCAATATTATATATTTTCTATTCATAGGCGATTCTCTTGTATATTTACAGCTCTATATACCACAACCACTTGCCTCATGCTGGGTATAATGAAAGCCGTCTGCACTCTTTGTACCTGTAAAAATAGATAGAAAAAAATGAAGAAATGCCTTAAAAAACTTGAGCATAAAAAAGTTATCGAAAAGAGGTGCACGACGATCCGCCGCAGCCGTTGCTCGTTGCTAGAGGTGGCATCCACATCCACATCCGCATTCGCATCCGCATCCGCATCAATGGTATTGCTTTCGATGTTGCACGTTGCAGGTTCCGGCAGCCACTTCACGCTCCCAGCTTCAGCTCTCCGTCCGTCTGTCCGTCTGGCTGTCTGGCTGTCTGGCTGTCTGTTTGCTGTCTCGTTTGTAGTCAAGGCCTGGCACTAAGATTTCGGCAAAATAGCCTTGTGTATGGGCGTAAGCATGTTTGAGGTATTAGACACATGTGAATGGCATCCGGGAGTCGGTGCCCAGTGGCTCGACCTGTTTGCCAGCTGCATTCGTAGCCAATGAAGCGAGTCAATCAATTTCGGGCCAAGGCAGGAGTCGGCTCGCTTTGCCCTCGCCTTCGCCTATGCCTTTGCCTTTGCCTTTGCCGGCTGTGCGACTGCTAAGTGAATTACGATTGCCAGGCGACGCAGAGACATGCATTTTAATGGGTAGCGAGGCGAGTTCATTTAAATGTTATATCTGCTGCTCTAATGAGCCGCAGCTAATGAACTGCCAGCAGTGTCTAATGCACTGCAGCAGCCATGTGGCCGGACGTACTTATGGCCAGTCGAGCCGAGTCCTGCCAGTGTCCTGCTGATAATGCTGCCCATTTGCACTGATAGTGCGCGCTAATGAAGTCATCAGCTACGGCGACATCAAAGGCGGCTGTGCGAGTCTCTGTGTGTCTGTGTGTGTGTGTGTGTGTCCGTTTTTATTTGCAACATTTGGGCAGAGCTAACCCAAACGAACGTCTGGGCCGCAACAATTTTCAGCGGCTGCTGATGGCGTAATGATGCCTACGTGATGTGCCGCTACAGGTCTAACGAATGCGTGTGCGTGCGTGTGTGTGGGTGTGCCTGGTCGAGGGTGAAAGTTTGCCGGTTAGCGAAAGTAACCAAGAGCGACACGCTCTGCATACTTTTAGGCGCCTCGCCACAAAAGCGGAAGGACATCTTTATCAGCCAGGGCTGCGTCATTGGCTTCATTGTTCGCAGTCGCCGCATAATCAAAGCCAGCAACGGAAGCCTCGGCAGCAGCAGCAGCAGCAGCAGCAACGTCAGCTGTCAACGTGGCTACAAATATGTCGCACACACACATACAGAGTGAGAGAGAGCGAGAGAGGGCGAGTGTGTGTGCGAGGGAGATAGACTGTTTCTCTAACACAATCTCAACAAGCGTTTGGCATGCATTCTCCGCCGCATAACTTAGCATACTTTTGCGGGCAGAGGGCAAAGTTTGCCGGACTGGCATACGCGCTGCTTCAAATTGTCACACCTTGGAAGCTAAAACTTTGCTTAGCTTCAGCTTCAGTCTGTCTCCCTCTCTCTCTCTTTCTCTCTCCCAGCCTCCCTCTTTCCCTCTCCCTGTGAGTGCTGTAAATTGTTTCAGTGCCGGTCACGTGGCGCTGGCTCTGCTCTGATGATGTTTAGTCAGTCCATTGTCCTCACTCTGATTAGCCGGCTGCCCGAACTTGCCGCTAGATGGCGCTAGTCGTGTGTGCGTGTGTGTGTGTGTGCTGTCAGCCATGCAAATTTTGCGCTTAATTAGCCAGCTGTGCATTCAGCTGTGAATGCGAAAGGTGAAAGTGCAAGTGAAAGCGAAGGCGAAGGCGAAGACGATACTGTGTGCGTGTGCGTGTGATTGTGCGTGTGCATTCGACTCTATGGAACGAAGCAACTAAATTAATTTCAATTGTTATTGGGCAGCCTTGAATGTGGCTCACATGCATTTGATAGCCGGGCCTAAGATGCTTTCAGTTGACTTGCTCAACTTGCTGCATTATTTATTTAAATGCCTCACCAGCTACAACAACAACGACAACAACAGCAATAATAAATATACCAGCTTCCTGCATAACCCATATTACACACACACACACACACACTTATACATATATGCATGTGTATGTGTAAGAGCCTGCGGGCCATAAAGGGCAACTCTTCGGCCAAACAGTTACGTCAAATGTATTTACGCAGTTTTACGTTTTGTCATGAAATGTGCGTTGATTGTTGTTGGCCAGTTCGTTGGTCGCCGCCCCCGCTCCCACTCCCACTCTCACTCTCTCTCTCTGTCGCACACATACGAGTGCACATGTGTTTCATTTGGTTGCTCGCCCGGCTATATAAACATAACAAACTCATCGTTAACTTTTTATTTGTTGCTCTTTCTTTGCTCGCTTCCTTTTTCGTTTTTTTTTTCTTTTGCTAGTCGCATTATTGCCCCGCGGGCGTCGGCCGCCCCGCCCAGCTGTGCCACGCCCACAGCGCGTTACAAATAAGCGTATTATGGGAACCGCTTGTGCTCGGGCATGGACAAAAGCAAATCCTTGACACGCTGTGATAAGGATTTCTTCATTTTTTATCTGGCCCCAGGGAAATAAAGTGAAAAGGTTATAAAACACAAGCAAGCGCCAGCGCCCAGCCCAGCCCAGGAGGCGGAGGTGGTAACGGGGGGCGGGGCCAGCCAGCATCGAGTTGGACTTGGTCTTGGAATTTGGCATCGACAGCCACAGCTACAGCTAAACGCAAAAGAAATCAACTCCAGCTTGAGTCTTGCTCTGCTTAACTAACACACACACACTCGCACACACACGCATAGAGCCTGTGTGTGTGTGTGAGAGTGTTTGTCCAGGCTCATCCACTTTCGGCACACCCAACGCCTTCCACCAAAAATTGCTGCTGCGGCCCAGCCCACGCATTTTGGACTCGGGCACTTTGTTGTTACTGCTGCTGCTGCTGCTGCTTCTTCTTCTTCTGCTCCTAGGTTTTTTTGTTTTATTTGTAAAGTCGTTATTATATTTAGGACACACATCCTTTGTTTTTGGTCTGCAGCAAACAGCGCGAAGCGACGCTCAACCGAGCTGAGACTGCGACTCCTCAAGCGTTGGCAGCTATCTGTGATTTGGGAGTGATGCGATCACAGCTAGCTGCAAAATGTGATTAGCATTTGCGGGGTAGACATAAAGAAAAATGAAAATATATATAATAATATAATTTAAATGCAAAAAATTAATATAGTTTTTAATGCGAAATGCTTTTATAATATGGAAAGTACTTTGATCACGTCTCACTGTATGATTCGTGATTTTAATAATTTGTTGCTATTTTTTTAATGATGATTTTTTTATGTATGTTAAATATGTGTAAGTATTCATGTATTTAAATATTGGTATATTTTTTTTTATTATTATTTTTTTTTTTTTAATTTAATGAAAATCTTCTTGAGGAATTCATATAGTAATCATGTGAATTTCGATATCTATAATTCTATATTTATAATTCATCAATTATAAATATAACTAGAATTTATACATAATTTTTAATAATAATTGATGGAAATATATAGAAATAACTAAATATAATAATACAACAATATTTAATAAAAAATAATCACATATCTCATAAAAGAACCATTTTAGTAATTATATTTAAAACTCTTCCTATGCTTTGATGTTGTTATTTTTAAATCTATTACTTAAATAAAAATACAAAAACAAAAATGAGAATAGTAATAACAAGTAAGGGATAATGCTTAAAAAATATATATATTTGTGCTCAGGTGTTCAATTGATGAAATTAAATATACATAAATAAATAAATACATTTTTGTTTAAATTAATAATAATTTACATGATATATAATTTTTTAACATTTTTATATTTACATAAATATGAATTGAATTAATTGTTGAACAATTTCCTTAAATGTTAATGAAAAATTTAAACATTCAGTGAGTTTGGCTTCAATTATATAACATGAAGCCAGGCTTGAAGATACGACTGGCCTTGATATATAATATAAATCAGAAAAGTAAACAAGCTACACATAAATAAATATTTTAATCCTAATATTAATTTAAAATTTAACATAATCTCAATTAAATATTTCAATTTAAATATGAATTTATATTTAGTATATATGGATATTATTTTATAATATTTAATATATATTTTCATCTTAATATTAATTTAAAATTCACCATAATTTCAATTAAACATTTCAATTTATATATGTATATATTATATATTATATATATATATATTATATATGTATATATATATTTAGTATATATGTTTATAGTATTATTATACATTATTTAATATAAATGTAGTTTTGATTTCCAAATGTATCCCCATGTCTTCTTCTAGTTGCCGTCGCCCATTCTAGTTATCTTGGAGCATATCATAGTCTAAGCTCCTAACTGACAGCATTCGACTTCTCAGCGTATCACAGCGAAGCCGCTTGGCTTGGCGCTTGGCGTGCACAACATTGTTGAGCAGATGAGGGACTGACAGCTCCAATGGCCAGGCGAACCCCTTTCGCCAGCAAAGCCACTGCCAACTGAATGTAGACAACACAATGGGGCATATTGTTGTAGCTGAGG